TTAAACATACGAAGCCTGGCCCGTCCTCCCCGTCTGAGCCCATCACCAGGGAGCGCCGGCGGAGGCGTGGCTGCCTCTCAGAGCCCCGCAGTGGGGCGTGAGCCTCTGGTCTGCCGCCGCTGATTCTCCCGGACACGCGGCACCTCCCTGGGATTGCTTTTCCTCCCCTGCAAATCAGGTGGAGATCTCCCTGAGATTTTTTTCTTTTTAATTTTGTAACTTGCTTGGAGGACAACGGGAAATTGGTGGGAGAGAGATTAATTCTCTTCACAGAAGCTGAGTGGCAGGGGAGACAGCATTGCGTGGAGTCTGGCAGAGGGTGGGCCGGGACGGAGGGCGCCGTGGAGACAGGGGCAGGGGCCCAGCCCTGGGAGAGACGGGGAGCCGGGGCTGCACAGTGGGAGGCGGGGGAGGGGGGAGACCCAACCCAGGCAGCATCTGCTCAGGAACGGCACCCACGGCACAACCGTGAGCAAACTCGGAACTTCTCTACGCTTGTGGCGGGGACGGAGACGTTCCTCACACCTGCCCTTGTGCAGAAAACCAGGAATCTCGGTGCTTTCTGACACCGTGGGCAAAGCAACAAGATTCTGCTATTGTTAAATACATTCGGCACAGTATGGGAACAATCTAACCGTTCACCGACAGAGACCAGACCATGAATCGCCGAGCTAGACTTTTCGCTGGCAGGAATCAAGCTTTAACACTTTGGTAACAACAGATATCTAGGCATAACTGAGATACCAAAACCAAGCTATTGTGTCTTTCAAAATGAAACCGTTTGTCAGAAAATGCCCAGTTCTATTAGTCTTAAACCCATCAATTAAATGAGATTGGAAGTGTGTGTCTCACAAAAGGTATCACAGGGATTGAATCTCTTAATTGGTGCTTGTAAAGCCCTTTAAAAACCACAAACGGCTCTCCCAAACGCAAGACATCATTAAGTCTAGTTGCACCCCGGTGTCGAGTGTAGGAGTGGAGGCAGAGGAGAGTAATACATCAGCGTCAGCCACCTGCCGTCCCGTGCGTGCCCCGAGCTAGGCTGGTGCTGGAACTTCATCCGGGTCTTCTCTTTGCGGGGAGGAGCAAGAGTGGGGATTGCAAATCTCTGGAGAGGAGCAAGGACGAACAGCAAAGCCATCCACACCATCCGGAATTAGACGACCACTTCATCACATTCGCTCCAGTCTCTTTCCTGAATCGAAACATCCATGGTGTGTACTCGAACAGATGCGTGTTCATGTTAGACATTCAAACCATGAAAAGCTATGCCAAGAAAATGTTTAAAACCTCACTCAAATTTAATAACTGTAATAGTAAAAATTATTAATATTGGGTAACATGGCAGTCCTCTTTCTACACCTGTAAATGCAGAGAAGGTAGATTAACACGGAGATAGATAAACGCCTAGAAAGAGAAAAGCACTTTCATTACAATGAGGTCGTGCTGTAGGTCCTACTTTTAACATTTCAATTAAACTGTGTTTTAGTTTAAAGCAAGTGAAAATGAAGAGATTTTGAACTTCTAATAAATGATTTGAGAAAAAATATTTTTAAAAGATTTCCCTGAGGGTAAAGGGCACACTGATCGACACTCAGAAGTCAGAATGCACACGCTTTAAAAATGACTTGTGTACGTACGCCCTGGCTGGTATGGCTCAGTGGATTGAGTGCAGCCTGCAAAGCAAAGGGTTGCTGGTTCGATTCCCAGTCAGGGCACATGCCTGACTTGTGGGCCAGGTCCCCAGTACGGGGTGTGCAAGAGGAAACCACACATTGATGTTTCTCTCCCTCTCTTCCCTTCTCTCTAAAGATAAATAAATAAAATTTTAAAAAAATGACTTGTATGTGTATATATATACATACATATATAAACACACACATACACACACACACACGGCTTATGCGTTTGACTTTTCTCCGTGTAAGAAGATAACATTAGCACTCACACTGCTAACTATATTCCCTCGCCCACGCGTCGTTGTTAAATCTGTACTGGTATTTTCTCATCATCCGAGTTTCTAACATACACCTTCCGTCCCACCCCTAACCCTCACGTGGTGCGGGAGTGTCAGCTGTGTGTTTAACTGCTGTCACGGCGCAGTCTCCAGACCGTGCGACCTTAGCGGATGGGCCTCCTGGTGAAGTCCTCTCTCCGCAAGAGCCATCTGTGTCCATCCCGAGAGAGGTTTCTTTTCCTTGTTCGAGTTACAGGGTGCTGCATGTTGTTACATTTGAGGGATTTCGAGGTGGGCGATAACCGTCTTGCCACCTTTTACTCGGAATATCGGGGCTGTTCTTGGTGTCTTCTGGGATAGGGGCTGCTGTTACCACATCAGAGACGAACCTGCTGGTTCCTCAGCCTTTTAAGATGATTCGCTGGGTCAGGCTGGTCTTCTTGCCACGTTTTCAGCTTTGAGGGCCAGCCAGTCGGCGGGCACGGGCCTTGGCCCTGGGTGTGTCTCTCGGTGCCTGGAACAGCTGCGTCCCGTCCATTTATGGGGAATGCTCCCGATGGCACCATCCGACGAGGTGTGATTCTGCTTGTCGGCGATGCCAAGGACACGGTTAAGTTGGGCCATTGTATCTGTCCTTTTTTATTCATTGCTTTTCTTCGATCGCTTCATTATCTGTGTTTTCTCAATTGCATTCATTACAATCACCTCAAATTATCCTTTTATGTCAGTAATTGAATTTTCAGTAGTTGTCTGTTTTGTTTCTGGCCCATTTTAATTGACTTATTAGTTCTTTAAAGGTGCAGTTTTGATTGCAATTTGTATCCTGAAGTTTGTAACTTCCTAAGGTATCTGATTGTATTGGATTTTTTTTTTCATCTTAATACTGTTGTTATTTTTTCTTCTTTTGCCACCTTTTTCATTTTATTTTTTTATTTTTCATTACATTATTTTTTAAAAAATTTGTGTTCTTATTCTGTAGCTTGAGCGAGGTAGAGACATCTCCTAGGATTCCTTGAGTGGTTGTTCTTCGGGAGGGGTATTTGCTTGCCCTGGCCTGGCCCGTCTCTCGGGCCCGCTGCCGTGGAGCAGTTGCGTGGCTCCCGCTCCGAGTCCTCCCTCCTGCTCCTGCGTGCGTCAGGCACTGCGTGTGGACAAGTCCCTTACTCCCTCGTACGGAGGGGCGACCCTGACCTCCCTCCCGCAGAGCCAGGACCCTCTGAGCCCCAGCGTGGGGGCTGGACGGATAGTGACGACCCACATTGTGTAGCCTGAGGGGACGGCAGGGCTGACAGGAGCTCAGCCTTTTGTGCAGCCCCTGGGTGCCTGTCTCTACATTCAGGTTTTATTTTTGGAGAAAACGGCGCGCCAGGGTGAAATGCAGATCGTGAGGGATGTGGAACGCCATCTGCTTCAGTAAACCACCCCGCACAGGGTCAGCGGTCAGGGGAGTGGGGGGTGGGGACCTCCCAGGCCCGGCCTGAGGAGGTGAGGACGGAGGGCCAGCCCAGCGGCGGGGTCAGGTGCGGCGGCAAACCTGGGCGCAGGTGTGCGGGCCTGTGTGGGGTGAAAGGGCCTCCACCCGGGGAGTGGGCAGCGGCTGTACGTGCCGGTGGGTTACCTGCAGGGGAAGGAGCAAAGGTGTGACCCGTTGAAGACAATGGGGACCCAGGGCTCCGGTCGGAAAGGGGGGTTAGGAATGCGGACACAGGAGAAGTAGAAGGAACCGGCCGTAGGCCACACTGGGTGGACAGAGGTGCCACACTGGGTGGACAGAAGTGTGCCCAGATAAATGTCGGTGCGTGCCTGCGTGCACACGCACACGGAGCCTGGGAGCAAGAGCGCCTCCGTGCGATGAGCACACTCGGCACCCCCGCCGTGGCACCTACACCCCACTCTCTGACACGGGAGGGAAACGAGGGCTCTCGGGCTGGGGCAGGGGAAATACCAGGTGATTCCAGGACCTGCCTGGCACCACGAAGTGAGCGGGCGTGCGAAGAAGACAGGCACCGGTCAGACAGGCACCGGTCAGACCAGGAAGGAGCCGGCCGGAGGGGCCCCTGCGGGCCAGGCCAGGGGCCACGGGGCCATGGGAAGACCCAGGGACGGGCTGTCACGTGTTTAATGAAGGAAGGCTGCATGCGGATAGAAGGGCCCCCGCTGATGGAGACGCGTGAGTGAGCGTGTAAACGTTCCACGGCCGGAGCTGTTCTCGAACCCCTCCCCGCAGCCTCCCTGCCCGCCGCAAAGGGACCAGGAGGCGCTGGACAGCGGGGATCCGACAGGCGCCCCTCCGTCCCTGACCGGAGGGGGACATCTCAGTGCCCCGGAGACCGGCTGCACCAGGGAGTGCTGGGGGGCTGGGCGGGCGGGATGGACGGAGCGCTGCATGACCGCTGCCCCCTGCAGGGCAAGGGGAGGCTTGTCCATGCGGTAATTTAAAAAGAAGCTTCGCTGTCTTCACTGGAGGTTTTACAAGTCTTTGTAGACCCCATGACCGCACCCTCGGCACCCGGCCGGGCCCAGGCCCCCCCGCCCCGCTGCCCTGGGTGCAATGATGCTGCCCAGAATCACCGCCTCGTGACCTGAGTAACCCTCCCGGGGGTCACAGCCGGGGTCGGGGAATGGCTGGGGAGTGACTCCACGTTGAGGGAGCCGGAACAGACAGACCGTTACATGAAATCTGTGGTTCTCACGCGGATCCTCTGGCCGTGAAGGTTTTGTTAGGAAAATGGTGAAACGGGACTTGAACGAGAGAGGGGCCAGCCCCGAATCGTTGTTCATTTCCGGACGTCGACGGTTTTCCTGCGGTCACGCACAAGAATCCCCTCGTGGGAAACACAAGCTGATTTAGTTCGGATCACGGGCGTCCGCTTGCAACATGGCTCTGCATGGTTCAAAAGTTTTCCCTGTGCCCTTCTTGCAGGGTCTTCTGTAGGCGTGAGATCATTCCGAAGTCAGAGCGTTAGTGAAAGGTGTCGCCGCGCGGCGGGGCCTCGGGCTGAGCGGCCGCGCGCTCTCACCGGGGCTCTCGGTCTCTCCACAGGTGGCGGCCCTTCCAGCAGCCCCTCCTTCACCCAGGAGCCTCAGGACATCACCTTCCCTCTGCATCGGCCACAGTCTGAAGTCACCCTGAGCTGTGCCGCCAGTGGCGACCCCCCTCCGCATTACAGGTGAGGGCCCGGCCCTGGGCACCGCCCTGGGTTTCTTTCTTTGCCTTCGAGGGAGACCATACCCCCCAAAAAAGTGCTCCAGGGGCCTGAATTTGCGGGGTGCAGCTCAGTGGATGTCGACTGAGGTGTGCTGGTCTGTGCCCACCTGTCCAACGGTGGTGCGGGCATTCATTCCCAAAGAGCCCCCCACGCTCCAGGCAGCAGCCACCTCACCCCCTCCCCCGGCAGACACCCGGAGGGCTCTGTCTGTCGGTGAGACTTTCTTGGACCAGTTATCCTTGACCTGGGTGCCGGGCAGTGCCATGGTGAGGTCAGAACAGAAAGGAAGAAGGGAGTAAAGGAAGGAAGGGGAGGGAGGAAGGAAAGGAGGAGGGAGGGAGGGAGGGAGGGAGGCACAGAGGGAGACAGTAATGGAGAGATTAAGGGGAAAGCGAGAGGAAAGGAAAAGATCTGGTTCCCAAATTTGAAAGACTGAAGCACCACCGAGGTCTGTGCTCCTCCCCCCAAGGCGGGGCTGCTGCCTCCCCCGCCCACGCGCACGGTGAGGACGGAAGTGTGGAAATGCCCCCGTGAGAGCGATGAATCGGAGGGACGCTTTATTGCATCTGACAAATTTCTGCGGCTCCACTGAGAGGTCCCATCACCCCAGAAACACTGACGACAGCTGTGTCACCTCAAGGCAGAGCAATAATTTTGTTCTGGGCAAGACTAGAAATGGCCGCATTTGTTTCTCCCGTACAACCTGTGGCATCACGGGGAGGGCGGTTGCAGCAAAGGCAGAATTAGTTAGATCCACGGGGTGGATGGAATTCACAATTTTAAAAACACATGCATGCATATGTCACACGTATGTGAATAATAATGATATTTCGTTGGCAAGACTTGCATGTGCAAAGGGAATCTAGGAAAAGGCCAAACAAATATTGATATAACTATATTACAACTGGGTTTTAAAAGCATTTTTTAAAAATCTTAATTTTTATCAGGGAAGTTGAATCAACACACACACAAAGTAACAATTTCAGCCCGTTTTGGCACAATAAGCTGTTTTTGTCTATTTTTTTATGTTGCATTAAAAATACCTGAGCTATATTTATAACTGCTTTGATCTTGAAATTGTCTGGATTAATTGGCTAAGTTACTTACTGCACAAACTACAGACAAATTCCCCCTTGCGTCTTGTCGAGCTAACTTCAGCAGCTGTTTTTTTTTAACAACAGAATCGTTGAGAGGCTGCGTGTCCTCACGTCCGCCCCACCCTCTGGCCAAGGCCCCAGCCCAGGGAGCGGCTGCTGGGGGGGAACCGCTCACTTCACAGACGGCTTGTTTGTCTTTCCTGAAGAATGAGCTGTCTTGGTTGATTTAACGTGTGGCGACACATGCAAAAATCGGACGAGCACATTGGTCATATCACCTGATACCTAATGTTGTAATTTTATCTCTTGACAGCTAATTTGACTGCCCACAAGGGGTGGTCGAGTTTGCCAAAGGAGGGAAAGAACTTGTGAATCCCCGTAAGATAAGGAACATCTGCTGGGTATAAGAGCAATCAGTCCGCCCATCAGTCAGCTAACTTCTGTGAAAATATCTATGGGTTTACAACAGGCAGAAAAAAGAATGTAAAACAGCGGTTCTCCGGATAATTCACTGATTAGCTTTATCTATGAAGAAATACACGGCGTGAGACCACCAATTCCTGCGTTGTTAAAATGGCTTTTGTTTCTTAGATGTTTGTAAATTAGGAGGCTGGTGACAGATAGTTCGATTCCCAGCCCGTAATCTGGGTTAGCCGGTCCCTCACACTACAGCGTAAGATGCCCTTAGGCCAGAGGCTCTGGAAAGAGGAGGAAAGGACCGAGTTTTTAATGCGTAAATGTCAGTCTCAGAGCCGGTTTCCTGGATAACAAAGCCAAGGGCAGCGGTAGCTCAGATCTCATGCACATTAGCAACAAACTGTGAAGTTCAGTTTTAATGTGACCCTTTCCAACTTAAATTTCATAACAAAATCTCACGTCGAACCACAGTGACCTGAGATCGTGTGTGCGTGAGCGTGCACGTGTGGGAGACAGAGGGGAATCTCTGCGGCTCGGAGGCCGTCGGTGTCTGAGGGGATCTGGACGTGGTGTGAAGGGGTCCAGCCATGGCAGGAGGGGCTGGGACTCTCCGGCTCAGCAAGGCCGTCCCAGGTGCGACCTTGGGGTGACCATTGCTGGCTCCCCCATCAGCCTCCTGATCCCCAAAGGGAGGGGGTGCCTTTGATTTTCAGATGTGTTTTCTGTGTTTGAGTCAATTGCCTTTAGCAAATGAAACCTCCTGGGAGAAAATGAGCCATTTTTAGAGCAGAACTTTGGAAACGGTTTCAAAGCAGCTGGTCTCCAGTCACTTCCGGTGGCGTGAAAGCACCTTTGCAAACAGGACTGCATTCCGGGGAGACAGGGCAATGTCGGGCAAGCTTGGACAAAAGCGTCCCCCTGGAAAAGATGGCTCTGTGTTTTCAAAACCAAGAGCCTTGAGGTCCCACCAGGAGCTCTGCCAGGGGAAGGGGCGGCTGCCCAGAGGTGGTGCGTGGGCAGGGCGGCCCCTACCTGCACAGCCCTGGGTCGTCAGGTTGCAGTGAGCTGTGTTCCAGCTCCGAGTGTGTGTTTTATTGGAAAAGTCAAGCATCCTATCAGTGATTTCCTCGCTGGCTATATCTGCTGTCAGAAAATAACGGTCTTTGACTGTCACAGAGGATGCCTGCCAGGTCTGACCTTGATCCGGCCACCGCAGGAGGGCCCTCTCTCCGGTTCAGCCCGCCGCTCGCTCTCACTGGCGCACTGGGTCTTCAAACCCCATGAGCTAGAACAGGAGGCGCACTACCGTGCTAATTTTAGAACTGATGGATGTGACTCCCCCGGAAACTGGAGGACTGTCACAAGGGTAGCTAGATCCAAGACCCCTTCCATGGGGCAGGGGTGTCACATGCAGGGCATGCCACCGCCCCCCGAGAGACTGTTAGAAATCTACATCTTGGTGTCCTCTCAGGGGTGTAGGGATGCACCCAGGAATAGGCACTTCGAACAAGCGCTCCGTGTAGCTGGAGAGCAAGGCCCAGCTTTGAAACACACGCACACACGCACACACCCCCCACACACTCACTCACACTCACACACTTGCCTTTTCCAGGGGCAGCAGACGGCCTTGGCCCCTCGTCACCCCGTTCCTGACTGAGGGCTCAGCTTCTCAACAGGGAAGGGTGCTCCCAGCCAAAGGTCACGATTTTAATTAAAATCTGTTATGTTTCCTGGCCTTAGTATGATATTAATTAGATGCTTAAAATAATTATCTGAAGCCTATTTCCTCGTCAGCACCATGAGAAAACTCTCCTCGGCGTTCGGTCCGACCGGTGACGTGTGCCCGACGCCCGCTGGAGTTCGTGACCACGGCTTCTCCGCCGACCGGAGCCCGTTAGCCGGGACCCAGCCCACCCCGGCGCCGCGCCCCTGCCCTGTGTGTGCAGTCTAATCGTCGTCCTGCTGCAGTGATTAGAAGGATTACGGGGAGGCCGCGGAAAAATTCATTTGCTGCCGCCAAGCCAAGCACTTTGAATTTGTGTTGAAAAACAATTACTGGGCTTAATTAGGAGCATGTAATGATGACAGCAGTTATTCCAGTGATTGATTTCAAAATTAAAGCGACCTGGCAAAGTGAGTGCCGCGTCTCCTCTGCTTTGAAATGAAAGGGGACGTGAGGTCCACAGACTGTGCCCCGGACGGCAGTGCGACCGCGGTGACAGCGAGACTGGGGTGACAGGGAGACCGGGGGCAGGGGCGAGACAGGCCTGAGGATAACACTCTTCCCGATGTGCTTCTGCCAGCACCGAGAGCAAGAAACTGCACACATTTCTCTAGGGAAAAAAAAAATATTAGCAGGAAGCGCAGGAAAGTGAAGCGTGGTATTTTTTTTATTGTTGTCTTCCAACTTCCTTTCATTAAAAAGAAGTTGACAGGCACAAGAATTGGGTAAATAATTCACACATGACGAGTTGGCCCTAACCCTCTCATGGGTTTGCTATTTGGCCAACCACTTCCCATCTTCCTTAGGGTCTGCCCGGGAAAGCGACCCAATAGTGAGTTAGCGACCCCAGTCCCTCCTTCTTTTCTTCTGGGGTAGACGTTTGCCAGACCCTCTCCCTGAGATGTTTCAAGGTGCTCCTAGAAAAGCCAGAGACCTTTGGAAGAATTCAGTAAAATGTCATTCCTTTCTAACAACTTGCCACCGACCACCAAAACACTTTTAGTCCGATCTCAGTGCGACTGGAGCACCCTAGAAAAGCAGGGAAGGACCCTACCGGCTCGTGGGGTGGGAACTGGCTCTCTTCCACGGGAAGACGCCGTCCACTTGTTTGACTAGATGACTGATGGTCTTAGTTCAGTATTTCTAAGTGCCTAATTCCTCCAGTGGTTTATAGGAACGCACTAGGAGTGCGTCTCATTGAATATGCAATGCCCATACTTCAGAAGCTCTGGATATGTTGATGAAAGTTGGGAAGGGTGAAGAAGGGGTGAAAGTTAGAAATAATTAGTGGATTTCCACTCATCTTCAAACGACCAAACGGGATTTCTAAAGCCCCTCACAGCCCTTTCAAATAACCCACTGTGAGGCCTGCCTCCCACTGAGCTCATGGGCCAGAGGGCTGCTCACTAATAATTAAGCCCAGAGACGTCTCTGCCTTAGTGAAAATCTCTCAAGTCTGGAGTTAAAGTGTCGTGTTAGTCCGGTGTTTCTTAAGCACCGTGGACACGTCTTCTGTGAGCTCAGTTTCCCCAGGGAGGGACTAACAGGGACAGCGGTGTGCCCCGGACGGCGGGCCGCCATCGGCCGCACACCGGCTCTGGAGGGTCCCCGGCTCCCTCCCCGTGCCGTCGGTCACACGCTCGCCCCGGCTCCTCTCCCTAAATCACTTTGACGTTCCATTTCGCAGTGTCAGCCGTGGGTGTGTGAAGAGTTGCTCGAGAAATAGGAAGGCCAGTGCTGCTGGCGGATTGTCTAAGTTTCATTTCTCCTGTCAAGGGTGCTGTTGCCTCTCTGTACACTTTTGGGGGAACATTTGTCATTCCTGAAGACTCGATCTTTCCCATGCCCTGGCTGTCGATACTGCTGAGCCGGGAAGCCGGTTTCCTTCGGTGGAACTAGTGGGATTGTCTGCCCATGCAACCACGCTGGTTTTTTTATCGGTCCCTGGAATTACAAATGCGTGTCCTGTATGACAAATAAATAGTGGCCGACCCTTTATATTAGAAGCATAATTTGCTTTTTTTCTTCCCTCGAAGGTGGAGGCACAATGGCAGAGACCTCGGCTTTTCCGGGAGCTCTCACTACAGGTTGGACGGAGGCAGCCTGGTGATCGGCAGCCCGCGCCCGGACCGAGACGGCGGCGCCTACCAGTGCCTGGCCGCCAACCCGCTGGGCACGGCGCTGAGTCAGAAGGCGGAGCTCCAGTTTGCATGTGAGTTTGGGGGGAAAGCCTGCGATGCCCGTGATTCTGAAAATGGAGCATTTTGACTCTATTCATTTTAGGAGAAAAACCAGCTTTGCCGCTCTTCCGTTCTTTGACAGCACACAGGACTGCGCGGAGGCAAATGTTTTCACAGCGTGCGTCCTGTGAACCCAGACTCCCGGGTTACACGCAATCTGTCCCCACAAAGGAAGACAATAGCAGTGTTACCCTGGCTTATGGACTATATTTAGAAACACCTCTGAAGTCCCATGTGGAAACATTGAGAAAAGGGCATCGGCTCTGTGACGGTTTCCCCTTCCCCTTCTGCGCGGGTGCCAGCGAGCCGCCCCCGGTGGGAGAAGCCGAGGGCAGGGGTGACTCTGGGGGGGGCCGTCCGCCTCCCGGGGGACGTGACTGGGGGCGCACGGTGCGGTGCGGTGTCCGCCAGAGGCAGGCTGTGCATTAACTGAGCAGTGTCCAGCTGCGCCCCATAAATGTCAGCCCAGTAATTACCTCGGTGACATTTGGGGACATTCGCAGATGAACAATAGACACAGTGTCTCTTACATCCTTCACACGCGGAGGTGGCTGGGGACTGAGATGCGCTCTGTGGAGTCCAGGGAACGCTGCGCTGGGGAGGGATTCTCTCTGCCCAGGCGGTGAAGGGGAGGGCGGCCGCCGCGCCCTCCGCGCCTCCACCTCCGGCCGCCCCCAGAAGGACTCACAGGGCCCAGGGTGAGCGTTCAAGGAAAGGGCCGTGGTCTGTTACTTCAAAGAGTAATTGCTTTGAGACTTTATTAGTGAAATGCGTGTCCAGAGCCCACCCTGTGGGACTGCTTCAGCCGCCAGAGATGGCTGCCTGGATGGTTGGGGCCCACTGAGCACCCACGGGGTCCCATCGAGGCCTCACGTTCCAAAGACCCCTTGTCCACGCACGGCTCCCTTCACGCTGACCATGTGGGGGCTGGCCCTGTTTCTGAATATATGTGTATATATACATGTGTGTGTATAGGTGTGTGCATCTGGTCATGCACACACGCTGTATGTTGTATGTAAATGCATATGCACGTGGTCACACACACACGCACACACGTGCTCGGCACAGTGTGTCTGACGGGGCCCACACTGCCTACACCCGCAGGACAGAGGAAAACAGAGCAAAGCGTGCAGAGCCCCACGCACCCTGCGCAGGGGCGGGCGGGCAGTCAGGCTGAGACTTAGGGACGGGCGGCGACCATGCTCCTCTCCGGCAGTTCCGCCGGGATCACCACCTGGAAGATGACAGGGAGCGACTGGCTGATGGGAAATGCACCTCACAGGAGTGGGCAATTGCTGCACAGACTTTGATGCTCCCCAAATGTGTGTGTCTCCCGCTGGGACAGAAAACGACCTTGGAGGGGCCCGAGACTGGAATCAGAGCCCGCAAGGAGGCGTCTGCCTCTCTGGCCAAGGGAGCCCCACACAAACCCCGTTTCTCTGGGGCTCGGGTTCCTTCCGTTCCGGACAACAGCTGTGTTCTGCTGCCGGAAACCGTGGCGCCGCGTCTCGGGGCGCCTGCCCCTCCTCCTTTCCTTTGTCCCCATTTTCAACAAAACGTAGTCTTACATTGACTGCGTTGTCATTTTTAAACTTCTTTTCTGACTTAAAAATACATGTGACTAGAAGTTCCGCTAAGTTAAAATATATGTTGCTTCTCTACAAAAGAGGAAAGGTTTAAATCAGGGAGAAAGTGTCCGCTTTCATTTGGGTGAATGGGAGAAATCAATTCTCCTGTCTTTGTTCACTCTCCTGTCTCTTCATAAAATCCTCCTTGTTTGGCTGAAAGGTGTGTGATTGTTGATTCCCTAAAAGCATTTCTATTACTATCCATGCAGAAGGAAGCCTACATCCATTAGCTAATCTTCCTTCTGCAAACTTCAAGGCTTCTGGAACTTAAAAAGCCGGAACCCGGGCCCACCAGGTCCTGCCTCGTCCACGCAGTGGCCGCGCCGTGGCCGGGCCTGAGTGTGCCCTGCTGGGGCCGCGGAGAGCCTTCTGGCTTGGGCGCGATGGCCCCTGGTGACGTGACTCTACCTTAAACACAACGCACACTGTGTAACCGTGCATAAATCCTCTCTCTTCCTTTCCTGCGTCTCATGAGTGCCTTTGTGTCTGCACTCGAGTGGGGTTCACCCTGAGTCAGAGGCCTTCTGTAACCAAGGGGAGCGCAGGCCCAGCTCTGCCGCCCCAGAGAGCTGAGGGCAGGTCGAAAGCCGGTGTCTGACGCCCACATCCTCGGCAGCGACAGTCCTGAGAGACACACAGCGGAAACAAATGTTCAGCCGCAGGCGAATGCGTCGACCAGAACGTGGTCTCCGCCTCCAGCAGAATGGTGTTTCCCTTCAGACAGGAATAAAACTGTGGCGCCTGCTGCCACGCGGAAGGAACCTGAACACAGCCCGCCAAGTGGGACCGGCCAGGCACGGGAGGACGAACACTGAGTGACTCACTCACGTGAGGGACCCGGGAGGCAAACTCACTCACAGGGACGGGACAGGACGGTGGCCGCCAGGGGGTGGGCCTGGGGGGTCGGGGGTCCGTGTTAAAAAATGGGGACAGAGTTCGAGTCTGGGAAGATGAGCAAGTTCTGGAGGCGACGGCGGCGGCGGCCGCTCGATGGTGCGGGCGTGCCCGATGCCGCTGCACTGTGTACTAAAAGGGGTCAGAACGGCCAGTGTTATGTGTGTTCACCGCAGTTCTCAAAAGAAGTCGCGCGACGAGAACTCTGCAGACTGAAAATGGTCCTGCCCGTTGGGTCCGTCCCTCCGTCTTGGTTCTGCAAACAGGAGACTGAGCCTTCTGTGCCGGGCCCTGGTTCTCGGTGCGGAAAAGGCGGGGCCCCGATGTGTCTCTGGCCGGACGGAGAGCTCCTAATGCACACGGCTCCTGCCTTGGCCTCCGTGTGCAGCGCCCGCGGCCACCACCGCAAATCCCCAGCCGTGTCTTTTGGTGGGGGAGGAGGAATGGTGACGGTAAAACGTGCAGATTTTTGATCGGACAGACCCGAGTTTGAGGGCATGCTCAGTCACACGGGAGTGTGAGGGTCGGCCCCCTCTGACATTGAGCCTCTGTCTTGAAATCTGTACCCTGAGCCTTGTGGCAGCATTCACAGGACAATGGCATGGGTCACCTGAGGTCACGTGTCACCGAGGTCACAGGTCACCTGAGGTCATGGGGGAAGCCCCCCCCCATTGCAGGTACTAGGAACGTGAAAGCCCTAGTTTGGCCAGACATCTGCAGAGTTCAAACTGTTCCCGTTTTCGCACAGAGAAACCTTCCGGTTCCCACTCTAACACTTTCTCCCCACTGGGTCGTGGTGCTCTTGTTGTCACGACTTTTCAGCCCTTTGACAGATGACCTTTCTTGACCTGGGTTACAGCCGCTGGGACAGCAGCTCCCGTTCCCATTTCACGGTCGAGGGGCCCGTGGGCCCCCGGGGCCGGGTCCCCCATGAAGGACGCCGGCGGAGGACCGGCCGCAACCTGAGCGTGAAGGTCGGACGCGGAGGCTCTCGGGCCGCAGCGCGCCGCCCTTTCCGACCCGGCCCGCGCCCGGCCTCGGGCCTTCTCTCCGCTTGTAACCGGGTCTGGGCGCAGCGTTGCCGGCCAGTGAGCCGGAGCCGCCCGACAGTCAGCCTGGTGGAGGGCCCGAGGGGGGCAGCTGGGTGCGCCCTGCCCCCACCCCCTTGAACAGGCAGCATGCCCAGCAGGCCCTGCCCCCACCCCCGGGTCGGGCTGCAGTGGACAGCAGCCGGGAAGCCCTCTTCCTGGCCCCGATCCTCTCCTGCGCCCCCCACCCCCTGCGGGACGGAAACCTGGGGCCTGGAGGCCCCGCTCCTGTGCGTTTCCAGGGACCAGAGCAGAGCTGCAAGTCAGTGAAGAGCCGCGCCGCCCCCCCCGCCACCGCTGGCCGTCAACCGAGCAAGGTCACTGTGCCCTTGGGCGCGAATGGCCCAACGGCCCTTCAGAGCCTCACCCATCCAGGGACGGACGCTGCGGGTCTCGGCTCCAGGCGGCTGACGCCTTTGGTCTGTCCGTGTGTCCCGAAGTTCAGCCGCTCCGACGCAGCCCTGGCGTGAGCTTCCGACACAGCCTGTGACAGCCTGTGACGCAGTCTGCTGCCTGGAGCCTCCCTGCCACGGGTCCCGGGGACGAGACCTCTGGGTCAGCCACCTCTTGTCACCAGATACACCCCCGGGGCCCCTGCTTAGGCCACCAGACCCGCACGACCCCTTCGCCCGAGGGCTTAAGCGCCGTTCGGGGAACGATTCAAACACGACAGGCCCTCCCGCTCTTCCCTGGCGTGCCGGCCCCCCAAACCGGTGGCTCTCGGTGTGAATTCTCCTCCTCGCCCCACAGGACCGCAGCCCAAAGGCAGACTCGGCTCGTCTCTGCCACCCACAGCCCCCCTTAGTGCCCAGGCTCCTGCGGGGCGCAGGGTGCGGGGACACGGCCTCCGTGAACGCCTCCGCCCCGGGCCAGGGGGCGGGGTGCCTGCCCCTGCTGGGTGAACGCCACCCTCGAGAAGGGAAAAGGTGGGCGGCCTGAAAGAAACCTGGGCTTCACTGGGCTGCATTTTGGGGCTCTTTTTTTTTTTTCTTGAGACTCTTATCACGTAGACTCTAGGGCCGAACAGATAAACATGTGGGGTAAAAGTCGCTCACGGCAGGACTCCCGGGCCCTGTGCTTTCACCACTCAGTCGCGGACACCGCTTCCCCCACGCGTGTGCTCCGGTTCTGCGCGGGGAAGGCAGAGAGAGGTTCCCGTTTGCTCGCCCGCCGGCCCGGCAGAGGGCGCCCTGCCGGTGCACCGAGCCCTGCAGAGGAAATGTCGGGTCGATGCGTTCGGGGATGTGGAGTTGCGGACAAGCTCCCTTTGCAAAACGCCACCTCCCTTTCCCTCCGGCGTGTCTGTCTGCGGCATTAACGGCGTCGCTAACAGTGTCGCACGGCGGCACACGTGTCGTCGGG